ATGTTCATACTCGATGGAATTCTACTTACTCAATGATTGATAGGGCACTTGATGCTAAATTGGCCATTAACTTGTTTGTGAATAGGGCAAATGACTTAGATATGATTACTGATTATGAGTGGGAACTGTTCAAACAATTTGTGATTTTCTTGAACCATTTTATGAAATTACTACTATGTTCTCTAGTTCTAAGTATCCCACCTCTAACTTGTATTTGACCAATGTTGTTGCAATTGAAAAGTTGTTGTGTGATGCTCACAATGATCCTTGTCAAGGCGTTTCTGCAATAGCAGGACCCATGCTTAAATTATATGAGAAATATTGGTTTGATCACTCATTGATTCTGTCTATTGCTGTTTTGCTTGATCCTCGATATAAAATACAACTTTTGAATGAGTTGTACAATGTTCTTTATGTAGAGGACGAGGTTTAATGAAGGGTAAGTGTCATATATAATGAGTTTGATAATTTATATATATATATATATATATATATATATATATATATATATATATATATATTATTCAAAATCTGCACTTTCTAGCTCTTATTTTTCTGTCCAAAGTAACACATCTCTAGAGACAAATAGGTCAAGTTCTTCCATTTGGCCTCGAATATTTAAAAAATTTGATCTATTTCAGATCAATTTTCATAAGTTTAATTATTTTAATTTGATTATTATGTTTTCATAATTCTAATTATTTTTTTATTTACCATTTCAGAATTTTGATGTTAATTTAGCTGCTTCAAGGACTGAAAAATCGGATGTTGATGCATACATTAATTTTCCCTTTGTTCCCCGTAATGAAGAAACTGAGTTTGACATTTTGGGTAAATCTTCAGAAATTGTTCAGAGTGTATCGATGCACAGGAAGTGCATTGATGCACCCATTAAAATGAAAAAATCGAACGTAATTTGTGTACCGATGCATGGGTAGTGCATCGATGGACATGTTAAAGAATGCATCGATACACTTCAAGGGGAAATTGAAATAGACATTTCTTTTGGTCTAAAAAATGATAGATTAGAGCATATCAATTGGATACTGATATGTATCAATATGTGATTATGTAGATATCGAACACGAACAAGTTCCAGAATGATCATCAAGTTAAGATTCGATCGAAAGAAAGGAAATCATAAAAGCGGATCGAAACTTAGTGAGGCCAGGTGAGTGCATTTTATTTTTTTAAGATTATAAGGAAATTGGACTTGTGATAAGTCTATTTCCTATAGTAATAGTTCATTAAGTCTTGATCATAAGTATGTTAACAACATGAAGTGTATGTATGTTTGATTATATGAATTGATATGTTTTGTATGTGCTATGTGGTTTACGTAAAAACACTATTAAATGTTAATGAGAGAATATAAAATAAGTTATGAAATTATAGGAATATAGAAGATCAATCAAGTGATATATGGAAATGGAAATATATGTCTATGAAGAGTTATAGGAGAACAAATATAAGTCATATGATAATGAAATATAAGACTATGTGAATACATGGTTATGAGATAAAATATGTAATAATAGGAAAATATGATGAAAGTGAGTTCATGAGAAGTGATAGGAACTAGGTAAACATGTGTAACAATATATGCTTAATAGAAACATGAGTTGGACAAGTACATAGTGGTATGATCCATTATGAGAATTAGTATAATAGAGCTTTTTGATTTAATGAGAGTTAAGGGAACTAAATAAGATTGAATTATAGAATGAAATGGGAATAATATATCAATTAGGAAACTTGAATATAAAAAGAATGATACGAATATATAAGATAAGTTATATGCTAAAGATTTATGGAACTATATGAAAAGGTCATAAGGGATATTTGAAATTGAATTAAGTAAATAGATTAAATTAATATATAAATAAAATACTATTAAATGATATATGTTTAGAAATACGACATAGTTTATATAATCTAAGGGAATACAAAGAAATGAAGCATAAGGTAGAGGAGATGACATAAGTTATTATATACATATATGATATATGTTATCAAGTAATATGAAAGGACTCGAAAAATTGATATAAGCTATGGGGAAGTGTTATAGGTGTTTCTATGTGTTATATGAAGTATATATGATTATATGTGAACAAGATATGATATGTAGGTTTACAGGAACATCTAAGAAATGATCTAAGCTATATGATATGATCTACGCGATTCTATGCACTTTGGATACATGTTATATGACATGGATCTATGTGACTACGTGAAAAAGAATATAAGCTATGTGACATGTAAATGTGAATTATATGAAAATGTTCTACGCGTAAGTGAACTATGTGAATATGTAAATGACATAAATGATAATGCCCATGTTATGTGTCATGAGAGCTAGGGGTATAGTTGGCATGCCAAGAGTCGAGGGCCTATGCGGTTCTTTGGGACATATATATATTCTTTGGAACATGTGTGAGGTCTTTTGAGACACATACTTGATCCTTGGCATATGTATATGATTCTTAAGAAATTTTGTACGTGGCCCTTAGGGACAATCTTATATGGCACTCCGGTGCATTTCTACGCGACACTACGGTGCAATTCTACGTGGCACTTCGGTGCATTTATATGAGCTGTGGTGACAGCATTAGTGCACAACCTCAATAGACTCCCATATCTATAGTTCTCAAAAGTGTACATGGGCTAAACAAAGAATAACAATGAACATAATACTTATGAAGTATATGCTTTTGGTGATATGAATTGTGTTATATGATTGATACGATGAAATGTGTGTGGTTTGAATGAGTCATATGTTGATAAAAAGGTTAGGTATAAAAAGGTATGTTTAAAAGATATAAATGATAATACTATGGATAATAGAATAATATTAACGATAGAAATGATGAATGAGGTGTATATGCGTACAATTAATTATATATGAAGTTATATTGTGTGTGTGATAGCATGAGATGATATGTATATGCATGTTTAAAAAGTTCAAGTTACTCTTATACGTTAATGCCTCACTAAGTCATAGACTTAGCGTATGATTGTTTCACATGTAGGTATGAGAAGCGAGAGTGGATGTAGCGAGGTGCAAGACATGTCAGTATTTTCCTTACGATGATCAGATCAGAAACATATTGAACAAATATACTTTGTTTATAGAGTTAGTGGGCATGTAGTTACAAGATTTTTAAATTGAATATGCTCTGAATAGTTCTGTAAATGTTTGAAAAGTCAATGTGACACCTAGGACTCGGATCCGAGTTGGATACGGGTTGAGGTATTACAATATTCAAGATTCAGTCGGTGGGATTGCACTAGGTTTGTGTTATTTACACAAGATCTTCGATGTAGCAAGCATATCTGCTTTCCTTAAAAGTTGGGCATCTTTCAGTCGTGGTTTGAATGGTGAAATACCAGAGCCCGGACTGTTAGGGTCATAGTCACTGTTTTTTCCTCCGGTTGAGTCAATGCCGGAAAATGCTGATTGGAAAAGCCTGTTCTTCAATGGCGGTGGGCGTAAGATAACAAGGACTTACGTGTTTGATGCCAATGCGATCTAGACTCTTAAGTTGATAGCGAAAAGCAAAATCTTGGAGCATCCTTCCCGGGTATTAGCTGTAAGTGCATTCGTATGGAAACATGCCATGCAGGCTTCTCGATCAGTTTCAGGAACTCTAAAGCGAACTATTTTATGCCAACCAGTGAACCTTCGACCAAAATTTAAGCCCGCCTTACCGAGTTATTCAATTGTGAACATGTTTTCGATGGCAAGTAGCATGTATAACCCAGTTGGAAAAGATATTGACTTGTCTGAGTTGAGTTACCTAGTGAGAAAAGCAACCAAAAGTGCCCCTAATGATCCCCAGGTTATTCTGCAAGGATTTAAAACTATGACAGAGCAAATCAGCCATCTTGCAGAAATGGACTCAAAAGGAAATGTAGATTTTTTTTTATTTTAAGCATCTGAATCAATACTTTGGATGCAAATGAAGATTTTGGGTGGGGAAAACGGACTTTGTTTAGCATTCCAGGGATCCATAATCGAGAGTTCAACAATGGTTTCGTTCTAAAAGAGGCAACGCAGCACAACGCCATTGAAGTTTGGATTACTTTATCCGATAAAGAAATGGGTTTTCTGGAACGTGATCCAGAGAGTTCCTCGCATTTGCTTCTCCAAGTTCTTACTTTGATAAAAGTGAGATCTAAACATAAACAAACAAGAAAGATGATTCCCAAACTTAAAACTATTGTTACCAAGGCTAAGTAAGTTTCTTTGGTTTAATACTGTTGTGTTAATAATCAAAACTAGTATGTTCTTAAATCTGTTTCTTCTTGTTCTTGTCTTCGTTTACAAATAATAAATGTAAGGGTAAAGTATAATAATGGTCACTGAGCTTTTCTAAAGCTTTCATTTAGGTCCCCAACTTTTAAAACTTACAATATTATCTCCTAACATTTAGTCCATTTGCAATATGGTCCCTCAACATTTAGTCCGTTTGCAACATGGTCCCTGATGTAACTGTTGGGGGACCATATTACAAATGGACTAAATGTTGAGAGACTGTATTGTAATTTTTAAAAGTTGAGAGATCTAAATGAAAGCTTTAGAAATGTTCAATGACCATTACTATACTTTACCCTAATTAATAATAGCACGAATCAACTCACCTCAATAGTTAAAGGAATTGTTATTGTTCGTAAATGTTACGGGTTTAAACATCAACGATTATAACAGAGTGATTGAACATTAATTGTAAAATAATTAAAAATATTTAAAATATATACTACTTTATAAACATCTTAATTTAATAAAAAAATAATTAATAATAATAAAATCAGTATGTTCAGTCAAATGATAAAAAAAAATGAAAGTTACATTCCCCACTCTAACCCTAATAATTGTGACAAAAAGATGGCCACCACTAGTTTCGTCTTCACCACCCTTATCATCTTACTTTTTTCTACCTAAAAGTCCAACCCCAGTTGGACTTGGAATTATGGGTGTTTTCCTATTACAATAATTACACTTTCTAACCACACAAAACTCAACCTCCATGGAGGTAGACAAACCAAAACCATTACCACCATGAGAAAAGCTCTGCTAATAATAAACTGCTTCGTCCTTTCTATAGGACACTGTGGCGGTCCACTTATCATGCGCCTGTACTTCATCCACGGCGGAAAACGAGTCTGGTTCTCCAGCTGGCTCGAGACCGGTGGTTGGCCTATCATCCTTCTCCCAGTCGCCTGCGCTTACTTTCACCGTTCAAGGACACAACCCAGTTCGGAAAACAAGCTTTTCTTCATCAAACCCCGTTTGTTCATCGCCGCCGCCTTCATCGGAATCCTGACCGGCCTGGACGACTACATCTACGCCTACGGAGTCGCCCGCCTTCCAGTTTCGACAGTGGCTTTAATCATCGCCTCGCAGCTGGTTTTCACCGCGGCGTTCGCTTTTCTTTTGGTGAAGCAGAAGTTCACTTCTTACTCCATTAACGCCGTGTTTCTGTTAACGATCGGAGCGGGCGTTTTAGCTTTGAACACGAGCGGCGATAAACCCGAGAAAGAATCGAACAGGGAATACGTTTCGGGGTTCATAATGACGGTTGGTGCGGCGGCTCTGTATGGATTCATCTTGCCGTTGGTGGAGCTTACCTACAAGAAAGCGAAGCAAGAGATGAGCTACGCGCTCGTGATGGAGATTCAGATGGTGATGTGCTTGTTCGCCACCGGCTTTTCCACCATCGGAATGCTCATCAACAATGATTTTGAAGTGATTCCAAGGGAGGCAAGGGAATTCGAGCTCGGGGAAACCAAGTATTACGTGGTTGTGGTTATGAGTGCGATCATATGGCAGTATTTCTATTTGGGAGTAATCGGAATAATCTTCTGTTCATCTTCTTTGGTATCTGGTATTGTGATTGCTGTTCTGTTGCCTGTAACTGAGATTCTGGCTGTAATCTTCTACAAAGAAAGCTTTCATGCCGAGAAGGGAGTGGCCCTTGCACTCTCACTATGGGGCTTCCTTTCTTACTTTTATGGTGAAATTAAGCAATCCAAGAAAGGCCATCTTCTTCAATCGGAAATGCCCTCACTTCCTAATCCTCATCCAAGTGTTTAGGGGCAGAGATGCACCTAAAGGAAGGGTAGGCGATACAACAGAACAAGATTTTAGGCAGAAATCGTCGTATGATTCTGACGATTCAAAAGTTATCGTGTAACGTGTTGTAGAAAAAATCCTAGTTTAGAAATAATTTCTAGAAAAAATTCTAGTTTAGAATTGTTGTCCAGCTCAGTTGGTAGAGCGCAAGGCTTTTAATTTTGTGATCGTGGGATCGATTCTACAGTGGGCAATTCATAATTTTGATTGCGGGAGGTCTTCCACGGAAGCTGCTCTCAACCTGACGTGCAACCTACTACCTTACCTCCCCTCCGTCCATTACATATGAGAATAGGGTCAACTAATTTTTATTTTTTTTCTAGTAAATTTTATATGAGCTACTTTTTCTCATTCCTTTGTTTAAACAAAATCTTCATTAATAATATATTTCAACCTTAAAATCATATAAATTCATCTCTACTAAAAATTTATAAGTTCTAACATAAAATTTTATGATGTTTTTCCGCAAAACAGCTAACTACCTTCGCATTTTCATGTAAAGGGTATGGTTTCAGGGTTGAATTATAGCATCCATGCATGTTTTTTGTGTGTGTTTTTTTTTCATATTTCATTGTATTATTATTACTTTTAGTACTTACATTTACATAACTAGATCACATCTAGTACAGAAAAATTTACCCTTTTTTTACCTTTCAGTAACTCTTACCAAAGTGTTATGCACAAACAAATAAAAGAAATAAAATTACAGATAGAATTATTTGGATTCTGTTTGCAAATCTATAAAATTATTCGACAACAAAAAGTTCGACATAAACAAGTGCAAAAGTAAGAGTTCTGCATCTAATGTTTTGGATGCGGGTAAATTATCAAAATTATATAAATGCTACACGTGTTATTAAAAGAATTAATTATTGTAACAGTCTAGACACTTAAAACGATAACATTTATGACGTTTTATACTTGAATTTATCGGGGAAAAAATAGACAATTAAATGAGAAAATATGTTTAGTTTAAGTATTGTTTTATATATTGTCATTCTTTTTTATCATATTTTTTTTTTGTTTGGATATGATGGGATTCTGATAAGATAATTCATTATCTTGTTTTGGTAATTTTATCTCAAGCCGAGAAATTCTTATAGTATTTTAGTTATTATTAATGGAAATAATCGCTTGACTAATATCAATTTTTCACAATTGAATTATATTGTATTGGATAAATTTGTTGGCTTAGTAATGAGTTCTTTTATGTTTACGTTATTATCATATAGGAATTTCTTTTGATAAAATCATATTGGAATTAGCCCTTTTTTTCTCCTCTTCTGTCTTTTTTCTTCTTTATAATTTGTGTCTATTTTATTGATCAATTCAACTTTTTTTTCTTTAATTTTATTTAATCGGCGGCGGTATCAGTTTTGATGCTAGTTATCGTCCGTCGGTTATCTTTTTTTTAATTTTTTAATAAGAATAATTATGTCTTTGTGCATGTTTTATGCCTTTATGACACATTTATGTCTGACTTTGTGTCACGTTTTTTTTATCTTTTAGTAGCTTACGATTTTTTTACTTTTTTTTCGTTTATCTTTTTTCACAGGATTTAGATTCGACATCGTCATTACTGATCAAGATGGTGCTTATTTGTTATCCTGCTGATATTCCCTACTTTGGACCCTCAAATTGATTTGGATACGCATTTTGCGCTCGTGGATAGTTTTCTCACGTCGTTTGACTATGATTTGTGATTTGTCAGTGGTATTTCAGTAGTTTCATCCCCTTTTTTGGTTCGTTTGTCAATGCAGTTAGATTTGTTCGTATCTTTATTTTATTCGAGCGTTGGTTAGATTTTTTAACCTTTTTCCTTTTATAGTCCTTGTATGATCTAGGTGACTAATTTTTGTGTTAATGGTTATAGAAAAATGTCTTAATTATAATTTAAGATACGTTTACGGTTATGCTCGTAAATCTTCATTGTAATTCTAAACATTTTTTATTTTTAATAAAACTAATGACTTCCAAATTCGTGTCCTCAAGGTAAAACTCTTCCTTCTATTTTTTTAAAAATAAATCATAGACTTTAATTAGATATATATAAACAGCATCAAGAGTTACATTGTTTTTCATATATTTTGAATTATTAAATAAAAAAATTGATCTTCGACAAAACAAAATGTGTAAGCGTGTGAGTATTCCGGTTGACCTCTTAGTTAATATAGTGTATCTGAGATTTCGTTAAGAATTAATATTATTTAAGGGATTTAGTGTCTCATCCAGTTAGATTAATCGATTATTAATATTAGATTATGATTTCGTCTCCTACTGGATTAAATATCTAATAAATTCTTATATTTTTTAATTTCTAGTTAGATCAACCGATTATTAATATTAGATTATCATTTCGTCTTCTACTTGATTAAATATATAATAAGTTGTTTTATTTCTTAATTTAAATACTTATTTTTACACTAACTAAAATTGTATTATATCAAAATCTATCAAACATAAAATAATTTTACAGCGGCCGGAGCCCCTTTGGGCATAAGAGAGATCCGCCCCTGTAGGGAGGGGTTGGCGTGGACAATGGCAACATCGTTCCGTGTTGGAGGGAATGCCTTTCCCTTCGGTTGACCCAACGTGGTTTCCGCTTTAGCAAAGAATTCATAGCCAACGCCACTCTCAAACCAACCAACCAACCAAAATGCCTTCCTTCTCATTCTCTCCTTTTTCTTCTAAAACTTTTATTTTTCTTTTGCGTTTTTGACAAACAACGTTCCAAGTTGATGCCAAAGGCCTTTCTTCTTCTTCCTCTTTTTCTTCATTTTAATGCTCTACTTGTTTGTTTAAAAATGAAAAGCATTGTTTGTTTAAAAGGGATGAACCATCTCTGATGCAACAGGTTCAGAAAATGACCGGCAAAAAGGAAGAGCCGCCTCAAGCGCAAAATGTGAGTTTTTCTTTATTGTTTTTTCATGAGAAATTTTTTGGACCTTTTTGTGTTTTGTTTCTGATGATTTTGTTGGCAGAAGATGGCTCCCAAAAGGGAAGAGCGGGAGCCGTCTTACTCATTTTTTTAAACTCTGGTTTTTGAAAATCAATTTTGTTGTCTCTTAAGGGAGATGCTGCAGCAGCTACTCCAGGCCCACCCGAGCATCAGACTTCTCGATCTGGAAATCCAGTATGAATTGTTACTTAAATTATCATGTACTGATCTTTGTTATCACCAAGTTCATGTTCACATTTATCTTTATGTATCATTTCATGGAAGGATTGCATGTATATTAGTTATCTTGTGCTTGTTATCAACCATATTACGATTGTTTTAATATTTTAAGTGCTTTGTTAGATCTGTTTCTCAAGCATGAGTTTTCAAATTTGTAAAAGTTGGTGCGTTTTAAGGTTCTTAAACTTTCTTGTAGGTTTTAAAGAGTGGACCACTTTTTATCATCCAAAGGTTTGTTTATTCGCTTCTGCAATTAAATTCAGATCCTCGTTTACCTTTCACCTTAAATTATATAGTACAAGAGAAATACCTTAAATTATATAGTACAAGAGAAATACGCTTTGTTTTAAATCAAGATCCCATTTTTCTTTTGATTACAGGAATTGGTTAGACATCATGGAAGAAAAGATGGTTCATTTTGACATATACTTCACTCGTTTTCTTCAGAAGCGATCCTGTACGTGATTGTACTTTGACATATTGTCTCTGCCTTCCGCGCGCTCTTCCTTCCCTCTCTTGTTGCATTTTGTATACATTAGGTTAAAGAAACGACCTCAGTGGAAAAAGAGAGTGTTGCTCTCGCTAGAGGTCTCAGGTTTGAACCATTATCTTAGTGTGTGCGCACATTGTCAATAGTTCAAAAACTTTCAGTAATCACCCGACCTATTCAAAAGAAAAAAGATCACCAATTCTTGGTCTCTTCTTCAAGTTGGAATTACTGACTTGTGTTTCCTTTCAACATTTCTAGTGTGGTTTTCAAAGCTGATAAAAAGCTTATAACAGTACAATTTAACGATGGCCCCGATGGACGAACCTTCACACTCTAGGTTCTTCATCTATAATTTCTCTTTGATTCTTCCTTTTACTGTTTTGAATCATAGTTTCGTCTAAAACTGTTTGCCTGAGTTGTTTTTCAGATTCATGGTACTTTAGTTTTACATATCCATAGCTTGATAAAGAGTTGTGAGTTGTGGGAAACCCAAATAAAGAAACAGTAAGATGTTGGGGAAAATCAGATTACGTGATTGGTTGTTCCTTTTGTTGATGTTGTAGGTTGAAACATTGGATGATTTGTATGAGTGGAAAGCTGCACTTGAGAATGCTTTGTCACAAGCACCAAGTTCTGCTAATGTAACCGGACAAAATGGCATTTTCCGGAACGATCAAGCCGTGGTTCTAAGGAACCAGGTATAGCTACCAAGATGTTTCTTGAATGCACCAAGTTTCTGACTCCATTGGCTGCTTTGATTTGTTTATTCCTATCATTTGAGATATTGATGCTCTTCTCTGTGTCTTTGGTAGTGAATAAGAAACAGCCTGGGAAGTCTACGGTTGTAGGCAGACCGATTTTACTTGCCCTGGAAGATGTTGATGGAGCTCCTACATTTTTGGAGAAGGCACTTGGATATATAGAAGAGCATGGTGAGTCTTTCTTTTCTTTTAGTTGATGCAATCTCATTTGAGTAATATTCTAAATTCAAGTTCTTGAGATACTGATATTGTGGAGGAGGTTCCTGCACCATGTACATATTTAAAGCACTTTTATTCATGTTTAAGTAACTCAACAGGTGTCAAAGTAGAAGGGATCTTACGACAAGCTGCCGATGTTGAAGATGTTGAGTGCCGAATTCAGGAATATGAACAGGGTTTGTTCAGATAACCTCTTTGCTTATTGAACATGATAGGGCAAGAACCACAAGCTACTTCTAACTCTTTTAGGTCTTGCTTTTTAATGCAGGAAAAACTGATTTTGCTTCAGAGGATGCACATGTTGTTGCTGATTGTGTGAAGGTATGCCGTTTTAGTTTCCGTCTTTCCGAAGATTCTTTCATTTAAGTTGCAAGATATGCTGAACCTGGTACTTTGTCGTCTGATTTTTCATGCCATTTTCCAGTATATCATCAGAGAGTTGTCATCACCTCCTGTTCCTGCATCATGC